GGACTGCGGGCTCCGGGGAATGAGCAATAACTCAGAGGATTCCTAATGAAATGGTATATCGTCTCTGTCCTTGTGAAGAAGAGGAAGAATACAGAAGAGGCCACAATTTGTTGGTTTTAAGCCTGACCCTGGTTATAAAGGAGAGAGAGAGCAAGCGAGAAAGATGGGCACTTCCAAAGAGCACCTTCCCCGACGGTTCATCTTGTTTCTTAGATACTTTAGATTGGTGAATTGTCCCTTTGGAGGTGTTTGCCTTTCCTCGATGACTGGAGAGGAGATGATGCCTGGTTTAGAGCAGATGTCTGAAGCTCCGTGAGCTCGATCCCTGTCCGGTGGTAGTGAGTGTTTTCTGTGTGCAGCAGGGCGGTGCTGTCCTTCAGGTGACTGCAAAAGCCTCTGCTGTTACGGGGAGCAGGGCAGTGCAGGCATGCTAGGGGTCGAAGATGGTATGATTTCCCCTGAGGAAACCTTCAGCTCTGCTGGGTTCCCTTGTCTGAGAGAGGAGCTGTCTGGCATTCATCCATAGCTGGTCCATGAGCTGAAAAGTTAAACTTCTTAAAATTACCGTGCTGGGTTTCTTTGTGCTGGGATTTTCTTTCGCCTTCTACAGTGGACAAAAGGGAGAGCATGTTGTGGTTTCCTTGTGTAGCAGACTCGAAGGCTGGGGCAGTCTGGAAGAGAGGTACAGTTCGATATTGTTGGGTATGATCTGCTCTCCCAGCTGAGTGTAAACCTGAAAGGACACCGCAGCAAGACCCAGTTTAAAGCTCTTGTTTTAAATTTGCTTGAATTGCACTTGTAAATAATAACTGACTTAAAGCTGAAGCATGGTTAGTAAGGACAGGACTAAAAGCCATGTGAAGCTTATTAAACTGTATTTGTGTTGTTTTTTGTTCTTCACTTTAAATATTAACTTCCTTTTTACTTTGAGGAAATGGTTAAACTAAGATTTACAGTGTAACAGTTGAGAAATTGAGAAGGGGTTGGAATTTGTCAGATGTTTAAAACTTCTCTTTTCAGCGTGTTCGTATGTACGTAACTAATGAACACTTAAGAGCAAAAGAAAAATCTGTTAAAGATTCAGCATTTCACAGATCTCGTTCAAAGATGTTGTGAAAATAAAAAGGGCTGGAAAAACAGGGTAACTGTTGGAGAGTATTAACGTGTGGGAAGGTCCAGAACCACGTGCAGACAACATTGAAGATTTGGATTCCTGTCCCGAGTTAGCCCTCGAGCTGTTGTAGCTCCACCAGTACTACCAGGGGACAGAGACAGAATAGTGAAGCCAGGGAAGCAGGACGACGTGATTACAAATGCTATTTGAGTGCCAGCACTAACAGCCCCGTTGTTACTGTTGTAATTTCAGTGATACAGTGTGAGGACCTTCCTCCTTTCCCTGCTGTCATTGAGCCTGAGAAAAGCTCCAGTGGCGAGGAAGATAAAGTGTAGAAGAAGAGTGAACTGCTGGCAGTACAAGAGTAGATTAGAGAGTGAGCAAATTGCTCGCGTGACCAACGTATATATAAAAAACTCTGGATAAGAGCATGTGAGGATATTTTGGTGGTTTGGAGAACAGGGCCTTTTCTGCTAGTGAGCAATGTTGAGATGACTTTTACATTAAGGCTGTGAAATACCCTTAATATGAGAGCTACAGCCACTGTTAAGCGCAGTGATGAGTGGGGCTGTAGTGGGAAGTGCGGACTGTTTATTTTAATCAACTTGTCAGTTTGGTTGCCTGCCTTTTGGAGGCTGAAATCATTCCAGCCTTTTGTGTTGGCTGAGCTGCGTGATTCTGTCAGCTATATGGTCCTGTCATACTAACTGTAAAATCCAGGTTAGATTAATAATGCAGATGATGATGAACTTCTACACCCCTCTGAATTCCTGGGCTCCTGATGACTCCTGTGTCTCGGGAGCTCTGGGATGGTGGGGCTGGGCAGCGGCTGCTTTCCCGGACACTAAGCAATACGGGGCTCTGGCCCAGTGGTAGGTCCTGTTCGTACGGGCTCTCACAGTGAAAGAAGGATGAGAGGGAGTATCCCAGCTTTTGATATGAATCTCCCCAAGCAAACATGAATTGGCAGATCCAAAGCATTTTATTTAATTGGAATGATTTCCAGAGATGTGGGAAAAATAGCTCGGACAGTTACGTGGTCTTCTGTTTTACTTCTTTATCTTCAAAATCCAGCTTTCTGCTGTCCCTGAACATCACACAGACTCGAGAAGAAACGCATAGAGTATTTGTCTAGTGCTGATGTCTGATACCTCACGCTGAGATTAGCACAGGATAGTGTCTGGAGTTGGAGGATTTGAGGGAGGCAACATGAAGAATGCATTTCTTACGGAAAAAGCAAAATAATGACCAGAGTATTCAAGTTACCAGGTCCAAAATATCTCATCTGGGCCAACAGGTTTGAGGGCTCCTTAGAACCCAACTAGCAAGTTTGGGGAAAATTTTAACTCCCTAGGAGTACTCTACAGGCCCGATCCTGCAAATCCTTCCTGCCTGAAACTCTACTTGGCTTGTCAGATTAGACTTGAGATTGCTTCTTAACCTATTCCAGGGTGAAGACGCA